TAGGGTTTAGCTTAAGCTTTTGAGTTGGGGTTTAGGGTTTACGGTTGAACAGTATAAGGCTTCGAGTCGACAAGGGCTTAGGGAGGGTTTGGAGTGTAGGTTGGTTAGGGTTCACGGTTTATGTTCTGGTTTAGGCTTAGAGCCTGCATTTAGGTGGGGTTGAGGGTTGAGTGTGGGGTTTAAGCTACAGGTTACTGTTAATAAAAACAGGAGCACTCCCTACGTTGGAGGTTTTATGGCTTGCGTAGGGCTTGCGTAAGATCCCGGCCCTCTCTGTGAGCCCTGGCCGCCGCCCAGCTGCAGCTCCAACGGCCCCGACGCCTCTCCGCACATGCCAGCCCCCCCCCCCCCCAACCTTACTAGGCCACATATCCTTGTGTACGTGATTCTCCCCGTGTGTGTGTGTGTGGGGTCTGCACTAGACTTCATGGAGGGCTGTGGCACCTGCCATCTGTGACCAATCGACCGGCACACAAATCCCGAACAGTTGAGGTGCGTCTGTCTCGTCGCCCGTGGCGCCGAATCCACTGGAGTCTGCTGCATGAAGTTTCCTTGTCTTGCGATGCCAATGCGCTAAATCACTGACTGTTCGTCTGTTACTTCTGACCCGGTGCAACGTGCTTGCCGATCAATTTCAGGTCTGTTGCCGGACAGCAATCGAAGCTATGACACGACCTGAACCGTTCTCTGACCTGTTGCGACATTTCGTTTTCCCACACAAGATGGTGAGTGTGTGGTGACTCCACCAGAGGGTCCATGCTGTGAGCGGTGCGAAAGAGCAATCGCCGGCATTTCGAAAGATGTGCAAAAGCTCTGCCGAACTTCCAGAGTGCAGCAAGAAATTTCAGCATGTTGAGGTCAGCCTGGGACGGCTTGAGCACAACTGCCCTGTCCTGCTGGGCCCCAGGTCGCAAAAGATGCTGATGATGCCACCAAAGCTGACAATTGCCAAGGTGCTGCTTATACCGCCATAGCTAGATTCATCTCCAGAATTCGTACGTCGTAGGTCTTCAGCGAGATGAAGGCAATTGCTCACTCAGCAGGCAAAGAGTCTCAAAAGGCCAAGAAGGACGGATTTGCCCAGGATCCCCAACAAAAAACCCCTTGGCGACGACTGCAAGCAGAGCATTTTCGTGTCGAGCAGGAGAAAATTCAGAAGCTTCTGGTGGCCTCTAGAGGAGAGGAGGCCTCTGGGAGCTTTGCATCTTGAGTCTGGTGTTTCCCTTGTTGAAATGGAGGCAAAGTTCATCGTGCGCATGCTGCAAGTTGGGCACTTAGGACACATCGACACGTGCTTCCTTCGCAAATGCGCGCAAGGATGTTCGAGTGTTGATTTTCACTAGCATCGGTAGCAGCCGACGTCTGCATGATCGGTTGCAATAGATCGAGATCAGGGCAGACAGGATTAACGCCCGTGGCAGACAGGGAATGCCGGAAAGACAGTTGCTCCAGGTAACTCAGCTCACAGGATGGAGAATGGCAGAAAGTCAAGCGATTAGTTGTTCTTGTCGGTTAGGGCGCGTGAGGCACTTGTGAGGTGCTGCAAGACCCTTTGCTGCAAACACTTGCATGCACGCGTAGCTGGAGATTATGCCCTGAACTAGGTTTACGACATGGCCGTTCGACATGATTACCATAAGACTTGAAGTGAGGCGAAGCTGCGAATCGGAATACAAATACCAACGCTTCTTCAGGCTCTGGGCCGTTTCCTCCGCTATCGTCGCTTGTGTTTTATGTTTGCGGCCCTGTTGCCAGGCTCTGGCTTACGCCTTCACGCTCACGAAGCCCGGCAAGTCTTGCGGACCTGCCGCTGTGACCGACAGGAGACATGGCCAGGCTTGAATTGAACAACTTTCAACGAGAGCAGAATGAGACATTGCAACTGCAGGCCAAGCTGTCCGCAGCGGAGCTGGAGCCACAGATGATCGGCATGGAGGCCGCGGTAAAACAAGTGCCAGTCCCAGTCCGGCATTGCGAGAGAGCGGTGTTGCCTCAGAGATGAAAACTACGTGCCAGCTCTGTATAGGGACGTTTAAGTTTAGGATTGAGGGCCGGGATAACACAAACGAGGCCTTCAGCGAGATGCCGAACTTTGCCCAGCCCTCGGGGACGCCCTCGGTGCAACTAGGATCGTTGCCGCTGTGTCGCTGCTAGGACAAGCTGGTTGCAGCTCTCATGGAGGGCCGAGACGGCGGGAAGCCTTAAGGCACTTGTGGAGGCGAACCGTGCAGTGCGCCGCCAGGAAGCTCCCTGCTTCAAGTTTGCAGCATCTCTGTCGGAGTTCCAGTGAAGCCAATGTCGCACCCATAGTTGTCGATACAAGTGGTGCATTTGTCGAGCATGCTGTGCTGCGAGTGTGCTGCGTGGTGCTGCAAAGGCTGGCCAAACCGTCCAAGGGCATAGCCGAGGCGACGCATTTCTGCCACAGGGCTCCTGCCCTGAATGCACCCGTGGCAGCCATGTCAGGTCGGTGAAAGGCTGTCGGGAAAGCGATTTACCGGTGAGTGGAAATACGACGGCGAGCGGGCTCAAATCCATGTCCTGTCCAAGGACGTCATCCAGGCTGCCTTCTGGGATCGCTTGACACCTGCGCAGAGTGTACAGAGCAGGCGGGCTTAGCTTGCTCCACAGATCTACAGCCGGAACTCTGAGAACATGACGGAGAAGTACCCTGATGTCATCGAGGTGGGCGTTTCTGTTCGTTCAGAATCCCTATGAGGAATCCGTGCAAACGGCTATGGCAGAAGTTTTCTTGTTGGTTCCATCTCTGTCTCAAGGTAGTCAAGCAATCGCTAGCAGAGGACTGGAATGCGTTAGACCCTGAAGCTGCTCCAACTGAGCGAATACGTTGGAGGACGTCCAAAGCTGCATCATCGACAGCGAACTGGTAGCTTTCGACCAGGTCAACAGGAAGATTTTGCCTTTTCAGGTCTGCCAGCCTTGGTTTCGTTGAAACTCCATCGGCAGTGTTGTAAGAGCCTGCTAAGCCCGTGCGGCTCAGCAAGCTGGCGCTCAAGCGCGTGCTACACGTGTTTGCGCAGCAGTGAGGCACCCATCACGCAGCTAGCACCACAAGGTAGGTCAGGTACTTTAGCCAACATAAAGTGTCTTGCTGGTGCAGTGAAACCTGGGTTCATCGAAGTTTTCCACTGCGCCAAGTCCATCTGAAGTCTTGACGGAACAGGAAAAGCAACTGCATGGAATTGCTCAGATTGAATACTCGTGCATTCAACGTTGCTGGCCTGAATCCGGCGGAAACCGTTCGGGAGGACGACCTGAGCAACGCTTTTCTAGATCCTGGTGAACCCTCCACGAACCGGCTGACGTCCATAACCCGAAATCCTCCAATGTTGATGCGCCCTGCTTGGTTAGCAATACCTAGCAATTGACCCGAAGCTGTTTTTGCTTCATCAGGCTCATTGCAAGCGACATCAACACAGATGTGATGGGGCATGCCAGGTGCTGACGACAAGAGGCCGCAAGAACATTACTGTGGAGGACATCAAGGCGGAACTTGATGTGGCTACGATACCAGTCCCTCTTTTATCAGAAGGATGTCACAACCGTTGAAAATGCGAAGCTTCTTGGGCATGTGGACTTGTTAAACGTCACTAGGCTTTCAACATCAGCGCTGCTAGCAGAACTCATCGGACATGTCGCCAGGTCAACGTCTGTCTCTTTGCCTTTGACTGCATGCTGGTGAACGGACAACCTTTGGTCAAGGAATTCATGCCTTCGCCTTGTGAATGCGACGTGCCAGTTAGAGGCCGCATAGGAAGCATGGCTTTTCCGAAGGCATGTGTGGGTGCGAGACGATGGTCAACATTTAGATTTACGGATGATTGGCTAAGACGGAGAAGTATCATCATTGCTTGCTGTCATGTTCGTCCATAAGAGAGGAGCTCGGATGTATGCACAGAAAACGGGCCACGACCCCTCCCAGAAAATATGGAGGGGCCAAGGTAGGTGCGCTGCTCGAAGCCAGGCTAGATGATATGGCAGCTTCACTGTACGTACTTCAGCTCCAACGCTGCGCATTGCTTCCATCTTTACGCAGATCTTTGACCCACAATTCTGCAACTGCACCTGCTTCGTTCGGTGCACTCAGACAACACGAACCTGATCGAACCTGTCTTGGAGACAGCTCAAGGTTGAGATTCTCCCAATGCGCAGGAGCCACTGGAACTCAGGAGGGAGAAGCTGTGGAGCATCCTGTCACCTGCTGAGGGCAAGGCCGTGGCAGTGCGCTTGTGTTTTTTGTCTTGGTCCGGACATGTTTTCCTGAAGGTCACGTTTGCAGTGTATCGAAATTTCAACGAAATCAACGAGGAAGAGATTCAGGTTCTGGTGCCGTCGATGTTGCAACGTTTCTGCTAGAGACACAAATATTGGGGCCAGGCATTCTTGGATGAATCAATTGCAGGGTCGTGCGAGGCAGCTTGCCTTTGTGGATAGGCCTGGCTCTACATTTTGCCTTTGCTTCGCCAGCCCAGGGATTGATGCTAAAGACCCTGACCGAGAATGCAACATACGAGCCGTCCAAGAGATCGCTCAACTGGCTGAAGTTGAAGAAGGACTGGGATTCAGAATTCTTTACCTCGCTTTGCCTCTTGTCCCGGAATGCCTGGGGCGCTGCCGAGCAAAGTTAAATAAGAGATTAATACGAGCAGGAACACAAGCGGTACTACGAGCTGTATCCTCAGCAGTGGCAGGGAATACAAGAACCACGCGAGAAAAGTACTACAAACACACAAAACGGCAACCTCGCATTCTTCCGGTGTGTTTATTGTGTTTCTCCACTGTTTTTCCTTCAGATGTTCCTGCATTTTGCCACCGCAACCCTCCCGACGCCGGAAATTCATGTTCCCGAGAGAAAATATGAGAAAACGGGAGATAACTACGAAGGTACCGCCTTGCCCCGGCACCGACCCTAGTCATCCTCCGACATTTTCGTTAGTTGTTTCAGAATTTTTATCCGCCACGACCCTCCCGGCGCAGGAAATGAATTTGTGCTAGGGAAAGTGCGAGAAAAGTGTGAGAAAACACGGGACAAAAGGACAAACACGAAGGTCTTTCACCAGCCACCCGGCCCCCGCCCAGGCTCTGTTCTGGTGGTTTCCATTGATTTGCAGAATTACTTACGGCGTTTTTCTTGTACTTCGTTTTGACCTCGACCTCCATATTCGTAGTTATCTCGTATTGGTTGTTGTAACTGTTCTTGTATTTATCTCGCAAGTAAGTGTTTTCAGCAAATCCCACAAATTCCGGGCCGGCGCCTGTCACAAGACTACTGCTAACAGCCAGAAGATCAACTATATGTGACTTGAGCATGCGTCGCGTGTATGGGCGTGCAGGACTACCTCGAAGGAATGGCTGACAGCATCGATGTGGTGCCGATAGGGGCCTACTACGGGAAGGACAGTGACGTGTGCTCATCACAATGCGACCTTTGCACAAAGCGATTTTCGACATTTCTGATGCAGGGCAAGCGATCTGGAGCTTACGGTGCATACCTCCTTGCAATTTACGATCAGGAGGCGGGCACAGGTTTTTTGTTTGGACGATGTGCGGAAGAACTTGACTACCTCTTTTGCTCCCCCCTTGCAGAACGAAGAATTCCAGACTGTGTGCAAAGCGGGCACTGGCTTCTCTGACGAGGACCTAGTTACATGTGTTGTGACTGTCTTGGAATGTCGGAGGCACCGAACGTGCTTTCGATGTCGGTCCTAAAACATCAGTGCAGCAACTTGTCCAGGGTGGTGGACATGTAACTGCATTGAGGTGTCTGGAAAGGCCATCCGGGACTGCGATGGAGAAAGGCACTTCAAGGGTAGGGCAGAGGAAACCACACTTACGTCGCAGCCGCAGGCACGGCACTGTAACAAGCGACTGAAGCTACGGGCGTGAACAGAGGAATGTGGCAAGCACAGTGTGTTCGTTAGGAACCCCAATGATGCCCTCAAAGTTGTCTGAGACAGATGGTGAATAGTCTCCTGGGCGAATGGTTCGTTGCCAGTTCGTTCCGGGTGGATCTTGAAGGACTCTGCGCTTCGTTTCTCGGATTTCAGTGGCCCGGCGACTGTAGTTCAAGATGTACGATATATTGTGTCATGTGTGATTTGCGCATAGTACCGCCTGTGTCAAGTGCACGTGCTCCAAAAGAACTAGCAAGCAATGGTAAGCATATGACGCCCCAACTATGTCAAGGGCAGACCAGCAGCAAAAGAAACCGTGTTGCCAGAAGTATCGAGGGAAGAAGCACGAAGGCAAATGCACGCAATACATCGCAAAAAACAGGCAGAAATACTAAGTCCCTAGGATCCACATCCTGCAGCAAGCAGTTCAGTTCCGGGTTGCATGAATGTCAGGGCGATTGAAAGGACAAGACTTGTCTAAGCAGGAGCAGGACATTTGGAATGAGTGCAAGATAGTGCAAGATATGCACCACACACCTGCAAAAGCACGATTGGCACCCCAAAATGTGAACGGGACTGTGATGCGAGCACGACTTCGGTAGGCGGAATTGTGCGGGACTATGGTGGGAGCAAGGGGGAACACGGCAGTCAAAAATGTGCGCGGTAGTTTGGTGGGAGAAAGTGGTAGCAGAATTTCGGGAGGCCGAAACGCAGGGCTTGTGGCCGAAAGACGAGTCGGAGACCAAACTACCTGCGGCGCTGTAGCCGTTGCCGGGTGTATGCGGGTGTCCATGGTGGATTCGCTCGGTGTGGGACTGTGTAAAGAAGGCGTTTCAGGCGAACATGTGCAACGCGCCACAGCCAGAGCCGCAGTGAAAGACCAGGCAATCTGTAAGAGACTCAGGTCTCAGCCTCGGGGGAACTCGTGGGTTTATGGTGAGAGTTCATCGTATTTGTAGATGCCATGGGAGCATAAGCAAAAAGGAGATAATTGAGATTTCTATTCAGTCATGGACCATGTGTAATCATTGTATTGTGGTCAGATAGCTGCTGAGATATTACATGACGGAAGCATATGGCGTAGCCCATAAGCAGTGCTCGGCAAGAGCTGCTACCTGTCCGGCTGGTTGCCGGTATCATCATGGACGATGTTCTCCTCACTGCTCTCGCTGCAGAACACAACTTGAGCAGTGTAGTCAGGTTCAATCAGGTCCGGCAAGTGCTATGACCGGATGTAGCCGAAATGACGTACTTTGTTTTCGCATGGGGACTGATAAACGCCGCTGTGATCTTCCAGTGCCGTTCTCTACTTTGACGCTTCTGGAGCGTAAAGCAGCATGCGCTAGCAAAGGCAATCAGGTTGTTGGTAATGTTGCTAGGAAGTAGCGGCTTGTGTCGAAGGACTTGACAACACACTACAGCTTCTTCAAGAATCACCAGCGTCCATGTGCAGAGGCTATAGCTGCTGTGCTCTGTGGCTGTTGACGAATACGCCCATGTCCTGCATGGCTCTGCAGACCAATTACAACGTGAACGACAAGCTGAAGCCAGACGTTTGGCTGGAGCCCTGTCAGGCTGCGGGGAAGTGCACGGACACCGTTTGATATAACTTCCCGTCCCCGTCCCCACGCAGCCCCCAAAGTCTGACGAGTGACGACTCTAGAATACTCTAGATCAAGTGCGTTCTGCACCGGCCTGCATCTCCATACCGAAGTCCCAGTAGTCATTGGTGAACGCAGTCCAGATCGAAGCACTGGCGAAGGTTTGGGAGATCAGAGCGGCGGATTTGAGTATCTCGCCCGTGCACACGAGCGCTTTCGGCGTGAAGGCCGAACTCGACTTGCCAGCAAGTCACGTGTCGCATGAGTCGCATCAATCGTCCGTGCTGTACATGCCTTGGGTTGATGGCCATTGTCTGAACGCCGATAAACTTGCCAACTTGTACAGTCTCTCGTCTGTTTTTTGTGTCTTCACGCAACACTTGGGACGATGCCACGATGCCCAAAGGGTAACATTTGCACATCGTGGTTTTCGTCCTTGCGCGATCCAACCAGCAATTGGTTGGAAATTGTGCTGTGCTGTGCCTTCGAGTTTTCTTGCTTTCGCGTTTTCAAACACAGTGGATGACCTGGATACTCATCGGCGACCCATGGCGACCCTACTTATGTCGAAGTCTCAACGGTGAGGACTCAAGTCATGACTGCACATGGATATGTTTGGGCACCGAATGGGCTCTCTAAGAAGGGGCGAATCAAACCGTCGGGCGAGCTGACCACACGTTGGTACAGCTGCTAATGTTCGTTTTAGCTGTGATTCAGCTTACGATCAAGAATCTGAAGAGCTGTATTCATTGTCGTACACCATGCAATCCGACGTTATGTGCGCACTTGTTGGCCCGTGGATGCAAACTAATGCTGTATTCCACAGGAAAGTTTATGCAGTTTGTGTCAACTCACATCTGACTAGCAATGAATTTCCGGCCCGTGTCGGGAACTTGGATTGGGCTCATGTTGCAAACACCTATGCGGATTGCCGTGCTGGGAAAAGTATGGCGTGGCTAGCTACGCGCAACCCATATTCGGTCTACCAGGATCGCAGCTGTGTCATTGATCATCGTTTGATTCTGTTGCAATGTTTTGTAGCGTATCTGATCTTCCGGGTTCGCTGTACTCTTGCTGCTGTACAGTTCTGCGAGAAGCCACTCTTTCCCAAGGCGGTGACCCGTCGTCAAGTCTTGGGGTATTTGGCTTCTACCCGCCCGTGGCACCTTTGGAACACGCGTAAGGGACAGGTTTGCTGTCTCAATTGCGGATTGCAACCCTCACCATGCGCTCGTTTGGAGACTTCAACGTGCTCGTGAACCAGACCTGTCCCAAGAGTAGCCTGGATCTTATAGCCCTCGGCATGCATCTCGCACGTGATGTCAGTTCTTGCATCCGAGGGAGTTGGGCCCCTGGTGCCAAGGATTGTAAAGTTCATTGGGACTTTAATTCCGTAATCAGCTTTGCTGTGCGCTTGTCCAAAGCGCAGTAACATCTGTCGCTTAAGTAGTAGTAGTAGTAGTAGT